GGGGGTGGTCTGGAAACTGGCAGGAAAATATTGTCATTAAAATCCCTGATGATTGTGTGAAGACTTTGATTCAACTAGGAAGTGTCTGCTCAAATTTAATTTATCACTTATTGTTTTTGACAGGACTTATCAATTTAATAAATTGGAGGCTATAGGAAAATACAATACATGAATAATTATCTATAGAAGTTTGTCTGAACATAAGCTTAATGGTTGTCACCTGATCTGCTGTATGATTAATCCTAGCTACCAACTGTAGGATAATTGTCGAGCCTATCAGGATGGGTTAGCGGTGGTTGAGAAGGGGGTGTGAGGGAAAAAAAAATTTGAGCTCAGTTGGGCTTTAAATGTTATCAATGTAGTGATCGGTATGTTTACGAGTGCATTAGAGGAGACTCGCTGAGGTATCGGAAACAAAATGTACTGTTGAGTCAGATTTTCTTGATGTACAGTATGTCGTTGTGAATAGACTTTAGTGAATCTTCCCAGCACCTTTTTATTTTAATTTCCCTAACTCTAAATGTGGATAAGAATTTCTATATTTGCCAGGCACCATTTAACACTGTACTTTGATTGCCTATAAATCCTGCATTGTGTTTGGAACAAAAGAGTAAATTGTCAGTAGCGAAGGTCACGGGAAGAGGTCTTTACAAACCTGCAATTGTATCATACTAACAGAGGTTGTGTATTGACAAAAATGGAAGTTTTGCCAAGTGAGTAATTTGTTTTATAACAGGCATTACAATTTTGGCATCTGATTTGTTTGTTGCCAGGGAACAGGCTTGAATACTGATCTCTTCCGAGACCAATAAACAGAGACTTTTTTTTTCTTTTAACTATTTTTGTGTGTTTGGTTTGTGTAAAGTTTTGAATACCAATTAAAAATATATGATTGTGTGTTTAAAGAAAAAATAAAGAAGGAATATATTTAGCTTGGCATGGTAATTATTTACTTTTTTGGTGTCAAACCGTTCTTGAATGACAATTGTTCCTGCTTGTATAACTATAACTACTTGTCATGCTGATAAGAAAGAATGGGAATACCACTGTCTGTCCAATGTAAGCCCCATTCACATTTGATAATTTTGTCACCGGTATTTTTCATTTTTTCTTTTTTTCCCGAGGCGTGACAACACTCAATATAAAGAATCCCATTATTTGTTAAATGGGAGCACCTGAAAATGTGCGTTTTTGCTTAATTTTGCGCCTAACAATTGTTTCCTCCTCCTAGTAACGAGCTTTCCTTTAGCTAACATGAAAACACTCAAGCCTAACGCCAGAAAAAAACGTGCAAAGAAAAAAATGCTTCTAAATTGCCTAAAAACACTCATGCTCAAGTGTGAATAGGGTTTTTTGTGCAAGTTGCATTCAAATCCATCTGTTTGCAATCAAAACGATTCACTGGGATTGCTCAGGGAAGAGAAAACAGAAAATATTTGCTCTTTAGTTGTGTGAAACTCCTCGATAATGCAGTATCTTGGTAATGCAGAACCTTCTCCCAAGGCATCTCTAGCTAATACATGTGTTTTTAGTTGTGTGTTTAGTTAAATGTGTGGTTTTTGAGGAACACAATTTTTGCTGGGGGTGGGAAGGAGTTGGCATACATATGACACATGTAGTTAGCATCTGTCAAGTTTTTTTTAACTGATGTTTGCTGGTGAGATTCTCCCTACTTCCGTTCTGGGACACCAGAGTAAGAAATAAGGGGAATGAGTGTCCAAAGAAAGATGCAGCACTAATCTACAGGACTGAGTTCCAGTATTTTAGGTAATTCCACACAGAATATATTGGTGGGGGCAATTTTAATTATTATTATTATACAGGATTTATATAGTGCCAAAAGTTTGAGCTGTGCTTTACAAAAATAAATGGAGACAGTACAGTTATAATACGATGCAAGACAAGAGGGTTAGGAGGGCCTTGTTTTTTACAATCCAAAAGGGAGGAACAAGTGATACAAGTAACTGTGTGGGGATGAGTTGATGGAGGAGGTAAAAGTTCAGTTGTTGGTAGAGGCACAATAGGCTTCCCTGAACAGATGCATTTTCAGGGATTTCCTAATGTTAGACAGGGTAGAGAATAGCTTTAGATATTGGAGTAGAGAGTTCCAAAGGATGGGGGAGGCTCTGGAGCAGTCCTGGAGTATTTGGAGGAGGTGACAAGTAAATCAGAGAGCAGAAGGTCTTGCAGAAGGGCAAGCAAGAAGTCAGTGGAGTGGTTGGCAGAAAGGGGTGCAAACACTGAGTGCTTGATAAGTTGGATAAGTGTGTCAGCAGCATTCATTAAGAAAGAAAGAGGGATAGCCAGTGTATAGGCAGGCCATCAAGGATGGAGATAACAAAAGATTGAAATAGTATTTTGGTGGTGTCACTGGTTAAGAAGGCACATATTTTGAGGTGATATTACGGAGGTGAAGGTGGTAAGATTTTGACAGTGACACAGCATTGACTTTTTTAACCTATGTAACTATGAACCAGAGGTGTTGCTAGGATTGTGGAAGACCTGGGACACCTTGGAGCACTGCAGGGAGATGTGGTGGTGTGCATAGCGAATGGTAGGCGTGGCCACCTTGTGCAGGTAGTGGGAGGAGCTTAAACGGACAGAGTAACCATCTGATCCTACTGGCACTATTCACAGCACTCCTATGTCACAGTTCTCATATCCATCAATTTAAAAACAAACTTTTGAATAGAGTAGGCTAGGGTTTCATTGCTATCGGTGTTCTCTCTGGGTAGATTCATCCCAAACCACGTGTTCTGGTGGCATTTGCAAAAAAGACAGAAAGTAATGGGAAATCCAAAATATTGCATTTGCCACCAGAACTTAAGGTGAAGGTAAATTTACCAGTGGGGACATCTGCTCTGGTGACAACTGTCTCAGAGGAAAATTCCCCTTTCTAGAGATTTCCTTTTGCTGCTGCTGCTTCACAAGGAAAAAAAGTAAATGAAAATGATTTCAACAGGATACAGAAAGTGAAAATAAACTGACAGGCTTTAAAACACATCCTACTGCTACTGTGCCACAAGCAAGAATCCCACAGATGCATTTAAAAAAATGGCACAATCATTAAATAAATAAATACATAAAACTCTTCCATTACAAATTCTTTTTGCACACAGACTGTAGAGACAGAGTTGAGAGACTACATGGCAACCAGCAACTGATACGATTTTCAGGAGTATTTAATTACAATATAACAAACAGTGCAGTGGTCAGAAATTAGTAATGTACAACATAGTGTATATAGTAAAGAGGTCCAGAGTATATAAACTTCAGCTCAGCATACAAAGTGCAGTGGGCAGGAGTATTTAACATACAGCCCAATATTCAAAGTGCAGTGGCCATAAGTATGTAAAAATACAACAATAAGTGTTATATACCATACAGCACAGCATGCAAAGTATTGCGTTCGGAAGTCATTATATACTCCTGACTTCTGAACTCTGTACCTCCTACAGCAGAATCACCTCTCTCCCCTAACAAATAGCTCCTGTCAACAAGAACCCTCCCTACAGCAGTATCACCTTCACCTAGCAAAGTGCTCCTCCCTGCAAGAAACACTCCTCCACAGCAAAAATCACCCACTCCCAGCAAAGAGCTCCTCCCTACAAGAACCCCCCTAAAGGAGAGTGTGCAGCCTTTGGGGAATGCAGAGTAATAAATGACATTGGGTGCTCAACAGGAGACACAGGGCATGTGCTCTGGGTGCCCAACGCTAGCGATCCTCTGCTATGAACAGAATATCTACTATGAAAGTGGAACTCTAAGCGTACAAAAAAAGACTCATTTAATGCAGCTCTGTAATTATTAATAGATCTTAAATGGCTTTTTAAATGCAAGCAGTGCAAGTTTCTGAATTTGACCTGGTGTTAGCATCTTACAGCCCCTGAATAGCAGAGCTGGGGTGTTGGAGGAAGAAGCAACACAAGGAACACATCAGTTCAGGTGCTGATGAGATATATGCTAATAGGCAGAGAATATGATAACAGAGGGGGGAGGTCATTGCTGTCCAGTCAAAGACTGGGGCATGTATAAGATGACCTGGGCTCAGAGAAAATGGGTTGAATGATGCTGGCTATCGGACTAGGGACATCTAGCAGCAAAAAAGTACTGCAGGGAAAATCCATGGATTGAAGCTGAATATTGCAGCAAAAACTGGTTTTGTTTTTTAATCTTTTAATGGGCTATTCAATTATATCCTAACATGAACTAACATGAATGGATTAAATGATCTGTATGTAGCCCTGTACTATGGATCATTTAACCCATTCATGTTAGAGGATCATTGTAAATGTATTGTTGCAGGCACTCTATATGTACATGTACTATATACTACATATAGAATGCACTGAACAATAGATTTACAATTATCCTCTGCTAATATGAATGGGTTAAATGATCCGTAGTACATGATATGTAGCCCTGTACCCCCTTTTCCACTTACAGAGCTAGGTTATTGTTTTTTTTAAAAATAAATATTCATGTAATGTTATTGGTATCTATCTTCATTTTGTACATTTACCAGTAGCTGCCTCATTTCCCACCCTAGGCTTATACTCGAGTCAATATTTTTTCCCAGTTTTTTGTGGTAAAATTAGGTACCTCGGCTTATATTCGGGTCAGCTTATACTCGAGTATATACGGTATTTTGGGCTGGAGGTCTGCTTTAAATAATTAGCCCACCCCCTCATATGGTTTGTGCCCCACTTAAATAACAGTGGATGGTGAAAATTGATTCTGATAGAAAATACAACATATAGGGTTGGTTCATACACATTGGAGAAAGAAAAACATGTGAAGATGGTTTAACAAAGCAGGCACTCAGAAATACTTTATAATGTTTCCTTCTATTAGAAGATGAATTATGGTCAGCTATTGATGGCATATTTTTTAAAATCAGTTCTGATATAGTTTACCTTGGCAAATCTAACCCGCCTGTTTTCATTCTACAGCAATGAGTGTCCCAGTATAAATCATCTCATACACTTTTATTCTGACAGGAAGTGCATGGTTCTTGCCGGAACAGTCAGAACACAGCTAGCCCTGCACTTGCTTGATTGTTTGAAGGTGTCAGATGCTCCCCATTTCTATGGCCTTCCATCTTTATGCAGAACTCTGAGAGGCATGGTCCATGTCACATCACTGCCAGAATGGAGCTCACATTGCCCTATGACAGAGCCAGTCACCATCTGTGTGAAGTTACTGACCAACCTTCTTGAGGTAAGAGAGAATTGAAGACCAGATCACAGTTGTATGTACTTTTTGGGGATGACAGAGGAAATATTTTATTAGATAAGTATAAACAGGAGGACCTCTTACAACTGAAATTCCATTAGGAAATGGCTGGCTACCATATGGAGACTCCCATTTGTAGTAAATGCTGAAGAGAGAGAGAGGGCTCCTTCCCCTCTCTCATCAGCGATCCACGATCTGTCAGCGGGGAGAGAGAGAGGGCTCCTTCCCCTCTCACATCAGCGATCCCCAGTGAATTGAGGATGTCAGCGTCACTCAGGGCAGGGAGAGGGAGAGAGGGGAAGGAGCCTTCTCTCTCTCTTCATCATTTATCACGTATGGCCAATGCATATATGATGAATGTCACTGGGGATCCCTGCTGATCGGATGCATGCCAGTCTGCAGGGATACCCAGTGACATCATTCACCATATATGGACTTGCCGATTTCTCGTAAATGATGAAGAGAGAGGGATGGCTCTTTATCCCCTCTCTCTCTGCCCCTATGTTATGCTGACATCCTAATTACTGGGGATCGCTGATGAGAGAGGGGAAAGAGCACTGAATTAGCAGGGAGGCCAAGTCCGTTTTTTTCATACCATCTCTTGCAGCAGCCTTCTCACTTCAGACTCCGCCTCCCGATCACACATGCCAGCGTGCACGAGCTGGCATTTCACAGCTGTGCACGATGAGAGGAAGCGCGGCCACAGCAATGAGATGAGTTGAAAAAAAAGCCGTGGGCGGGCTGGATCAAATGTTAACGCCCCCTAAGAGAAACGGAGCTTGGAGCTGGGTTGAAGACGGCCATTTACTACAGGTTTTGAGGGTTTTATCTGTGATGTGCTGCGACTTTAGAAAAAAGGAACAATGCTACTACAATCAAGGTAAGGGGTATTTTTATTTGCCCTTAAGTCATAGTTCTCCTTTAAGCACCACTAGAGTCATGAGACCTGTGCTGGGTCACTGTGAGCAATATCTAGGGTGTCATAGACCTCACAGCTACCTGAGGAGGTGGGGATAAGGTCACCTCAGCCCAGACACCTCTAAACTGATACTTCGCTTACATGTGATTATGCTTATCTCTATTTCCTGCATAGTCCCAAATAGCGCTTATAACTGCTCTTATTTGTTAGTGTTGGATTGCCATATGTCCTTGGCCTGAACAAATTCCAGGCATCAGGGAGACAGAGCTCTTGGACCCAGGGACACTTGTATTCATTATAACAGAAAAAGCAAAGGGTCATAATGTTCCACTGATGATCTTTGAAGCATGTTTAGCTATTCCTTTTGCATAGTGTGTCAATTAAAGTGAATCTGTTGTCTAGCAATAGATCGGAGGTAGACCATCTCTGCACTCCAGCTGTGGTAAAACTACAAATTCAATCATGCCTCTGCCTCTTGGAGTCTGTCAGAATCGTGCAATTCTTTATGGCATTTGTAGTTTCACCACAGCTGGAGTGGCAAAGTCGCCTACCCCTGCAATAGATAGTAAAACTCACACTGGATAGTATACATCTTCATGTGTTAGATTGCTTTTCTTCTAACTCTCCTGTAGCCTCCATATCCTGGAGTGTGCTAATGTGCAAATGGCGACCTGCTACCTTGGATGACAACTCTTGCCTGTTTCCTGCAGTGTTTTTTTATTGTCATGGGTTGTGAACACAGGAGCTGAATATTTAAATACCCCAGCATTTAGGGGGGCATGGGACACTGTAGAAGAAAAGGAAATGTATGTGTTGTCCAGCTTGAGTGAGAGTTTAATTTGTTTGCTCTTGGCCACATGTTTTACATCTAGAACTGCCACAGCCAATTAAATAAATCCTATATAAGAAAAATGTAACCAGTTGTTTCAGGTTCATTTCATTATTTTTGTGTCCCATAGTGAGCACAGTTGTTCCCAACTGCAGAACCCAGTATCATTACTGTAAACGAGACTATACTGAAAAATATATAGTTCAGCTAAGTATATTGTGCGGTTTTACTTTATTCTATGAACACTCGTAAAAGTCAAGCTACCATGAAATTGTTTTTTCCTCTCTTATCAGATCATTTCATCGTTTTATGTGGAATGGGGAGGAAATGCTCTTTCCTATATGGGGAAAGGTGTCACGAAGAGCACAGTATTGTGCTTGCTTCACTTGTCCCATGAGATGACAGCTCAAGCCAAGAACACGGTAAGAGATGGAAATGGTGCTCTTTGTAAGCTGGAATATGTGGAAGAGACATCCATGTGATGCTAGTAACATAAATGTTACTTTCTTTCCATCTACTTTTAATGAGGTTTCCTTTAAGCTTTCTTTTTTCCTCTGGAAAGTTATCGTTTTCCTCCAAAATAAGATTTTCCTTTAAAAAAGGAAACCGCTGTCTGTCATGCCAAGAGCACAATTAAATATAAAAAATATATATTTATTTTCCCCAGTGCTAAAGAATGATGTTTGTTGACAACAATGGTTCAGTGACTTAGTTTACTCAAATATCTTCATCCTTTAAAATCTCTTTTCTACCTATCTGATTATGTGCAGATGGCTGTTTGAAACTGTATCTCCTTTGAGGCACTGAAGCAAAATACCAATTAATTCCTCCTTATGGCATACTTTGCTTTTTTTAATGTTTCACAGCTTTCTTTTGTTTCTCCCATCTTTGGCCTTTTTTTGTACTGCGTTATTATTTTGCTTGTTATGTAAAATATTGTTTATTTAATACGTGCTTTCTTGGTTATTTTAAGTTTATGAATGTAGCAGATGCAAGGCATCAGCTGAAGTACTGAACATACAGGTGATCTCATAATACAATACATTTCCTGGCAGTTACAGAAGCTTGTTTGTAAACTGCCAGCTTTATAACTATAGCAAATGACGTAGAGGCCCATTAAAGGCAATGTAAGTAAAAGGGCTCTTGTTGGCTATTCAAACCAGTCTGGTTCCAGTTGCTGTTTCACTGTTTAAAATGAGTACACACATCTGTCTGGATAATGTTTTTCAGACATAGGTTTCTGAATGATCAAAAGTTAAAGCCGAATGAATAGACTATGCAGTGGTGTGGAAAGTGTCTTCTTTTAAAGGCCCACACGTGTTGTCCCAGACTCTAGAAATATGGCAACTCATCACATCACATAATAAGAGAACATTTTAATATTAGGATTTCAGTGACCAAATGAAAAGACAATTATTCCC